AGCAAAAGGGAATTTGTGCTTGAAAATACTGAAATATCTTTTTTTGAAAGAAAGAGACAGAGGAAATTATTAGCAAAGGATTTTTAATAATGTTGTTCTTGCTGAAAAAATATTATTTTTAAGTGCAGGGCTGTTCCCCTGTGCAGCAGTCCCATCCCATTCTGGTGAGGCCATCCATGCTATATAAAGTTAAACATGAAACTATCATGATATAAGTTATCTTAATGCTTAAATATGACAGCTCCTGGTCCATTGCTGTGTTGTGCTGCAGACTAACATGATTTTGGGGTCTCACACCAGTGACCCAGAGGTCAGGGCTGAGGCAGGAGGAACCTCCCACCAAGGATTTGTCCAGGCTCACAGCAGTGTGTGTGTGGGGGATAATTCCTTACATGACCAATTCCATACCCTTCACAGGTCTTTAAAACAGTAGTAAATTTATTTATGATTATAAATAATAATGGTAAATAGTAAAATATAAAAAATATTTACTATATTAAAATGCAATAACTTAAATGTATTTAGAAGGTCAAATGTTTACTGTAGCAGAGGTGGTATTGCATGGAGTAGAAATGTGTTATTTTATAAGGGTTAATGGTCCTTCTGCACCTGAAGGCTTCAGGGAGGGAGGAGGGAGTAGCAGCAACTGGGGGTGAGGTGACATGCCAGAGCATGTCTCTTGTACTCAGCTTATTCCCAGTTGGTGCCAGTGAATCTCAGCTGCTCTTTAGAGGACTCGCAGCTCATTCTTCATTTCCCTGTGCCTTTTCTCCCCTTTCCCTTCAGCTGGGAAGCTGGGAGCAGCCACAGCCACCTGGCTGCCTTCCTGCACTTTCCTTGTGACGGGTCTGGCAGGGCAGGCTTGGCCACAGCTTTTGCCAGAGCTTTCTTCTCACACAAAAATGTGCCAAGGAACCGCATTGCCAGCAGACGCTGTCCCGCCCCGAGGATTTACAGCGTGGCCTATAGGAAGGGATGGTCCCTGTTCCCTGGCTCTGCTGCAGACCATGCTGCCTAATGACCCAGGGCCCTTCCCAGGGATACTAAAATATCGTCATGCTCTTTTGTTCTGACACTTTCCTCCTCCTTAAAATGTAAGATTTTACCCCTTTTTGAAACCACAGAGACAGAGATTGAAAGGCAGCCCTTTGAGCTTGTTAAAATTTGACTGCAGGGTTCCTTCCGACCCCTCTGCTAATTTTTAGCAGAGCAGGAAACATTAAAAATAACCATGAGAGAAGATTTCCAAACTCAGAAGGATTGTCCTCTTAATAATTTCTGGCTTTGTTTTCACTAGATATTTCCCTCCCTTTAAAATTTTTGTGACATTGTTAGAGCAAGTACCTCCCTGCCAGCAGCAGGAAGGGCACTGGAGGAGGAAGGCAGAGGGCCAGGTAGCCAGGCTGGCACCTCTGCTTGCTCTGAGCCAGAGGTGAGTGATATATGTGGGAAATGCTTATTATTTATTGGAAGAGCTTTTGCATGTGAATCAGAGCTTGCAAGCTCCCCATCGTCCTTTTTTGGTGAACTCAAAGCTGTCCTCAAGCCTTCAGCTGATCTCAGCAGTGGGTGAACATCATTTTTGCAAAGAGGGGTGGCATTTTGGTGCTATATATCAAGAATTCTGAGCTCCTACTGTGAAACAAAATGAAGAAAAATATTGGAATTTGTTTTCAAACATATCTAAATGTAGCCCCTTACTCTGAAGTTGAAATATTGTGTGGCCAAACCAAGGCATGCATGGAGAGTACATGATGTAGTAACAAGCTCTGCTCAAGCTCCAGCTGAGAGCTGTCTGCATTCTCAGCATCGTGATATATGTTATTAAGACGTCATTAAATAATATATCATTAGTGTATACCATAAAATATTTATCATTGTACAAATAATGTCCTCACCCAGGTGATGGCAGAGGGGAATGCACCACTGGATCTTTATTCCCACAGGAACACCACGTGCCTACGTAACTCTCTGTGAGGGGTCAAACCATGGCATGTGGTTGCAATTGTCACTCCCCCCTGCCCCATTCACCAGCTCTCCCTGCTAACCCATCAGTGTCATCTTCCTCAAAGCACCCAGATCAATGTATTTTGTCCCACTTGGCCAGTGCACTGATGGGTTTGGTCAGGATTGTGTTTTGGAGGAAATTGGTTGAATTTTTTCCTCTGCCTTGTCTTAAAGCATCAGGTTTGTGCTGGGCAGAAAATTCATCCCCCCTTGAAGTAGTGAGCACTGAATTATGTGAAGTGTGATCACTGTGTGTGTGATTTAAAGACTTGTGATCAAGAGTGGGTGAAGGATGAGTGAAATTTGCCCCAGGGCAAAAAGCACAGCACAAAGCCACAGTGAAGCTTTCCCTTACTTGGGGTGTCCAGAAAACTCACCTTTTTCATAGACTTTGTGCTGGTTGTTTAAGTGAAAGTGATTTTTGTTTTTTGAGTGGGGGAATGTGGGGTTACTCGTTGTTTTCCTGTTCCTTGTTTATTAAATAAATTGAAGATTGCTTAATCTTTAATTAAAATGACGTGGAGGAGGATTCAAATGAAAGACAATAATGATCTCAACACATGGGTACTCCTGAGATTTACAAGGAGTCAAGTCAGCCCAGATTTCAGATGCTTTCTCCTCCTCTACTCATGCAATCCCCTGGCTCCTCTCAGGAGCCCTGCCTTGCTCACACAGACATTTGGCTGGGCAGGTAGAGCAGAGACAATTAAATCCCCAGCCCAGACTAACAAGACATTTAAAAGTCTGTGTTAGTCTTGTCCATTCAGTGCCATGGCTGGCCAGGAGCCCCTTTGAAACCCTGATGGATATTGTTTCTCTCAAGCATTAAATACTTTCCCTTAAACAAACATCCTCTGAATAGGCCATTGTTTTTCCTTCTGGATGTCCTTTTGTGGACTGATACAAGAATAGCTAAAAGCTGATGAATTGGTATTGTATATTAGAAATAAATAAAATCTGGGACTTCTACTCCTCTGAGAAGTTGAATGTGCAGCCAGTTCTCTGCTCAGGTCCCATGTCTTGCCCTCTGGAGGACAGGGAGTTGCAGGTGAATCACCTCAAACAATCATAGTTTCAGAAAAGAAGCTCCATGGACCTGATGCCTTTCCCAGGTGTTATAATCCAAGCAACTGAGGTTCAATAAAGTAGGGAGGAGGCATTGGGGAAGAAGAAGTAGTTTGGTTGTGACCTGCAAGCCTTTGCTTGCTGACAGACACAACTGCTTTATTTATATTGTTCATTGCTGCTACTTGCACTGGTAGCTCCTTATGAGAAATAATACACATCACATGGTGAATGTAAACTGTGTTTGATAACTTCAGAAATCTCATGTGTGTAAAGAAATGCCCATTTATTTTCAAGTGAACTTCTCTCATACAGGTGCCCCAGCCCTTATGACCAAGGTACTGATGCCCTGCCCAGTGTTCAGCCACCTGGATTTACCTCTTTCCTAACAGAGCTGTGTCCCCCAGGATTTCCTATTCCATAGCCATTACAGACTGATTTATTCCTTGTTAATGGCTGTGAGCTGGAAGGATGCTCTTTTTAGTGCAGCCATTGGCCTCCTCTTACACACCTTTGTCTCTTTTGTCCAATTTCCCCATCACAGATAGAAGCTAAACTAAAAATGAGTCACCCTAATCAGTTCCCTAAGAAATACAGAGACCTTTGGTGCTTTAGCCTTGTGTTGTCCCACAGTCCAAACTATGTTTGCTTTGGTAGATCCCCCCAGCTGACAGGGCTGTATTGTGGGAGATGTTTCAGCCCAGCATGTTGGAAGGAGGATGTGCAAGCACAGCCCTTGGATTTGCCATAGGTAGGGGACAAGAACAAGGCTGGGTTGGGTTTGAGCTCACCAGAGCTGGGCTGTGGTGTTGGGTCAGACTTTGCCACAGGGACATTGATCCCTCCAGGATGGATCCTTGCCCAGGGAAGCACGGGAGCACACGTTGGAAATCTGGGTGTGAAAGCTTTGACCGAGGGCTTTGCTGACTTGCAACCATCGTGCTGTGTCTCTTCAGGGACAGTTTGCAGGGCTGAGCCTTCTTTGGGCTTAAATGAGGAAAGGTGTTAGGTTTGTGGATTGGTGGGGATTCAGTTCTGGGATTTACCGTAACTTGGGGGTGTTTCTTCATCCCCAAGTGCCTGTGTGCCAGCTGCAGCTGAGGGCAGGGGCAGCTTAGAGCACCTATGCTTCCTCCCCACACACATCCCTTCTCAAAAGCAAAGTCTCCTATGGCCCAAAAACAGTCAGTGGCTTCACATTAATTAAGGGCATAAATGCCAGAGATGGCAGGGAAATAACCATTTTTTATGTTGATTTACCAGGCAGCAGCCCTAGGAAGGGGAGACCTGGGGAAGAACTGGGGTAACCAAGTGCTTGGTCTTGCAGTTACAAATGCACTTGCAGCTTTGTGTCACTGCAGGCGAGCAAAGCACAGAGCTGTCAGCCCGTGGGGCAGATGCACCTTCCCTTTCTCCACAGCAAGAAACCTCTTTCCATCAGTGAGACTTTACTGAGGGTGATGGCTGATACCATCACCCATCACATCTTGGGTAAATTGGTAGAGATTCAGCAAGTCCTTCGGCAAAAACAAATGGTTCAGGTCCGAGGTTGATGTGAATCACTCGTGGATCTGCTCCGTTTACCCAAATCAGGGGTGTTTTACTGCTGCTCCTTTTGACTTTACAAACCTCAGGGAGTCCCAAGTGTTGTGCCAGGGCACTGTCACCTCATCCCTGTCACTAATCCTGTCGCTTCCTTTCACGCTCCTTCATAATCTGCAAATTGTTTGATGCCTCTTACTGTACTTCCCTGAAACCTTCCTGCTGGATTGCATGGATGAAGGATTAGGTATATCATAGAATCATAGCCAAAGATTGTGCTATATGTAAGTAGAGCCTCTTTCAGAGCATGCCTGATATTGTTGTGTTTGTAAATTGATCATTTATTTATGTATTTTAATAATACTCTCTTTTCCTTTCTTTTCCAGGGGCCTCTTGGTTTGGATGGCAAACCAGTAAGTAGCACCAGGTGCCAAATATAGCATGTCTTTGCTCGTGCTGCTCTGCAATAAATATTCAGAATGTCAACTACTACTCGTTTATTACTACATATATAACAGTTTAAGGGAGAAAATTGTATTTGGGAAATAGCTCCATGGTCTGTAACACATGCAAGTTTGAATTCTGAGCCAGGGCTGGCCAGCACAGCTATAGGTGACCTTTTTTTTTTACCTGTCAGCTCATCTCAGCTGCTTCTTCCCCTCCTGTGCCAACTCAGTGAGCAGAGACTGCAGATGGGCATCAGGCCAAATTTGGGAAATAATCTCCAGTAGCATATTCAAAGAAGCAAAGTCAGTAATCTTGGTTGTGTGCTCCTGGCACTACAAAGTGATACCATAAAAATAATTGATCCCAAAGTGGGTTCCATTTCACTCCAAAGGAGCTGAGGTTGGAACTACTTGAAGAGTGCACAGTGTCCATGCAATACTTTTTGGAACAGCTGGACTTCATTTTATGAGCTGTTTTCTTGACTTCATTTTTTTGTTGGAAGCCCTTTGGATATTCAGGTGCTCCACTCTTTTCTTACTTATTTTACAGAAACCCAGACTTTTTTACTTTCATGCTAGCTGAACTCTGGCCAGCTCCAACTCCTTCTGCTGGATGGTTCCTACAGAAGGTCACAGTTCCATGTTTTGTGTCCAAACCCCATTCTCTTGCACTACCTTTCCTAGAGGGCACAATCTGAAATCTTTTATAGTTATGGTCCTAAAGCAGCTGGGATTTCAATGTGGGCAGAAGTCATTCAGTCTTTGCAATTGAAAAGTTACTCCAGACACTTATTTCTAGCTAGGTAGGAGACGTGCTGTTAAAGCTGTACGTTGCTGTTGTTGGTTTTTATCCTACCCCTGAAGACAACAAATGTAAATAAAATCTAGAAATAAAGGATTAGAAATGAAACAAAAAGGAAGGCCAGCTCACACTGTGGTGCTCAGGGCTCAGCTTTGAATCAGCAAAACCCCGTGATGGGAGCACAGTCGGACACTGGGAGCACAGTCCTGCACCCAGGGTGCCACTACCGGGCAGGAGTGAGACCCTGAGTGAGGGACAGGGAAAACCTCAATGAAAAAGCAAATTTATCAAACAGCCAGAGCCAAAGCAGACTGTTCATGATCTCTTCCATACCAGCAGCCTTGCTTAGAGAGCAATTAACAGTGGGAGGGATGCGTGGGGATGCAGATCTGCCACTGCTGACCTCTCTGTTGACCTTCCCCCACTGCATCCCACTGGGTCCTGCTTCAGCAAACTCCTTGAATTGGTCTGAACCCTGAGATTTAGTATTTTTCTGTGCTGGAAGGAGGATGCAGAGCAGGCACATCACAGTGTTGCTCTCGGGTTCTCTCTGGGGCTGCAGTGTGTCTCTGCCTGTCTTACAGGCAGCTGCTCAGAGGGAAGATGAATGATGCCTTCAGCAAATAGGCCAAAGAAAGCAGCCCGTCCTCCCTGTTTATTTCAAACAGATGTATAATTGTTGTAATGATATGCTGAGCATGTGTTTTTTCTAGAAGTGATTTAATACCTCAAGATATCCTTTTCATCTATTTGGAGTCACGTGTTTGCAAGTGGCTGTCATGCTGCCTGCCCTGCCCTGTCCCTTCTCCATCCTCTGTCCTGGCAGGAGCAGGCAGAACCTCATGGGTGCTCTTCTGGAAGTGTGCTGCTTGTGTCAAGCAGCGTGTAACTTTAAAAGAATAGCATGTATGCTTTAAAATAATAGAGAATATGGCTCTGGTCTGTGAATTGATGAATGCAATCTCCTTGTGTTTGGTGTCACGTGCACTGATGATTCTGATGTTCCTTAACTTGGATCCTTTTTGTGTGTTTCCAGGGACCTCCAGGACCAAAAGGGGAAAAGGTAAAGGCTGCATTAACACATGGCTTTTGGGGAAGCTGGTGTATATCCTCCTGCTGCTGTAATTTTCTCAGTTCATGTTGCCCCAGTATGCCAGCGTGACGCTGGGTTCTGTTGGGACCTGGAGCTCTGACAGTGGGTTCTCAGGTTGCTCTTGGAAAAGCCCCAGGAAGGGAAGGAGGGTGGGCAGGAAGAATTTGCAAAAAACTAGGAGGGATAAGTGTGGTCTTAAAGCTCACCCACACTATAGGGTTTCTGGTAAGCCCTTAAGGGTCACGAGATTGGCATAAATCTCTCTTGGCTCCTCCAGGAGCTCTGGGCTCCATCGCTCCGTGTTTGCATGACATGAGAGTGGCCAAAGGAAGTCATTACTGTACTGAAAGTGAAGATAATTCTCACATGTGTAGGACATAAGCAGTTGCTAGGGGAGCCTTAGAGTTGGGAACAATCTGCTATTTCTGATTTATTATGTGTCTCATCGCCTGCCAGGGCAGAACCCTTCCCTATTGTGTTGTCTCGAGCCCTTCTCCTCCCTGGTTTTGAATACATTAAGCAATAGAACACTCTTGCCACTTCCCTTGTGTGCTGTACCCACATCCAGCTGACCCTGTGCTTGGTCCTTGTGGGTTGACATTTGAACTCTCAGCTGACCTTGCTGTTTTGCCTGATGTGCAGGGTGAAGCAGGGGACGTCGGCCCAAGGGTAAGTAGTGACACGGCACGTTAATTTATTCCAAAGTCTGGTTGGGTTTAGTCACTGCACAAAACAAGGCTTTGTGTGCAGCTTTGCTGCAAACTGAGGTATGGTAACAATTCTGGAAATGTTTAATTTTGCCTTTGGAGCTCTTTTGTGGTGGTTTTCCTCACTTTGGCCATGAGGAAAAAAAGACTTGAAGATCCTTGGGTTCCTCGTGAAGGGTTTCACTTCTACTGAACTTTCTTATCCCTGATTTCCTCTTCCAGTGTCAGAGATAGTTTCTCTTGAAGCTGAGCTCCTTATCTGTTGGCATTAGAGCACCACTGCATGATGGTAGGGCCTGGTGCCCCAAGGAGAGGTCAGGCACAGTGTTGTGCAGGATGGAATGTTCCTCCTGTCTTGCTGAGCCCCCACCTGGGAGCGTGGTGGCACACAGGTGATATCCAGGCTGCCTTTGGAAACAAAGGGTTTAAAGTAACTGTAAAAAAGTTGGCTGGTAGGGTTAGACATCATTGCTGGAAACACAACCAGGGCCTCAGTGGTTAATGTCAGGCAGAGATGCATCAGAGACATCTTTATTTTTCTCCCTTGTGAAGTCACTTTTGGAAGTTGGCGTCATTTTCTGAAGCGGCTCCCAAATGCCTTGGGCGTGTTGGGAAATGTCACCCTTGGGGTCTGAGAGCCCCTCAAATTTCTCTGATAGATTTATGCCCTGTGTGGCTAAGGAGGGGCTCAGCTTAAGGTCTCCACTTTGTCTAAGTGCCCACCCACATACTCAGAAAAGGCTTTAAGAGGTGATTCAGCAGCACAGGGGTGTGAGTTTTCACTCCTTTCTGGGGCTGATGGCTGAGGAGATGCTGCTGTGGGAAATGCTCCAGGACAGGCTGTATCTGGAATTGTGGGGCAGGTGACAGCTTCCAAGGTAACACTTGTCCTATGTTTTAATTTACCAAGAAAAAAGTGCTTGTTTTTTTGGTTTTTTCTATGTTTTGTTTTTTGTCCTGATCTGCATTTGTCCAGATTTTGCTTTAGTTGTAGATTTATTTATGTCTTTTTGCACAAGAGTAAGAAAAAGGCTCAAAAACGATTTGGGAGGAAAGAGGGAGAAACAAGCCTGGCAGAGCCAGGCACAAGTAGATCTAAAAACAGGTGCCTGTCTTTGAAAATAGCTTCCTTTATCTCTCCAGACACTCAGGGTTGTGAATTGGATGCGAAACTTCTTAATACCATCTGGCCCAGATTGTTTTTTTTTTCTGAATTTAATCTGTCTTCTTCCTCCAGTTTCAGTGGTGGCTTTGTTTAGCTGATTTTGAAAGATGCAAGTCATCGCATCAACGGGAGGATAAATTATAGTTATAGGACTATGTCCAGTGCCCTCTCCCTCGTAAATGTTCATGTCTATGGGTGGTGGAGTGGGGATAGACTGTGTCAGTGAACATTAAAATATCATCATTAGGAATGACAGATTAAAAGAGAACAATGGTTGGGGCAACTTTGGAGGGACTGTCTGCCGTGGGAGTGAGGTGATGGCAATTGGGGATTAGCTACTGAATATGTTCATGTCTGCACTGCTTCTCTTTCTGTCTGTAATAAACACCTGCCACAAGCATGGACAAAAATAGAGATTATTACATGTTTGAGTGTGCCTGGTGGTGGATGTTGGAGGGTGATTTTGGAAAGCTGAGGAAGATCACATTGGGTTGTCTTAATCACTGAATGCTCGTTCTTGTAAACAGCATGAGGGAGGATGCTGTGCAGCCTCACAGGTCAGGATGGGGAATAAAGGTACCCAAATACACTGCTGGAATTCATGGAGGTGTATTTACAGGGAGAAACCAGTAACAGAACCCCTCTGCTCTGGGGAGGATGGAGGCAGTCAAGGCAGGATGCTGCCAAGGCTGTGCCCTGGTATTTGTGCCTGTACTTCTCACTCAACATCAAGTATTCTGCTACACCTCCCAAAAGGACCGGTTTTATAAGCCAGACTCGCTCCCTGAGCCGGCACCGGGATGACTGCTCTGGATTTATGACCTTAGCTGGGTGATCTTGTTCTTACTGACAGCTCAGATGTTCAGACAAACGATGGGGTTGATGAATCTCTGCACATCTGGGCTGGTGGATGCACCGTGCCTGTGGCAGCAGCACCGGGACTGCTCCCGAGGGGGGGAAATGAGCTGCAGCTGGTGAGGGAAATGCTCTGCCTGCAGTGACCCTCGTGGCACGGGCCTGCTCGATGGCCAGTGCTGATGGAGATGGCACCAGCACCACCTGCACCCTGAGCTGCTGGGGGAGCTGAACGCTGGTGTGGCTGAACCAGCTCTGCAGCTCTGCTCCACAAAAGGAGCTTTTTCTCTCTTACTTTCTGCAAAATTGTAAGTGCCTGCCAAGCTCAAATTGCAGATAAAAACTCAGCATAGGAAGTGTCCTGCAGAGCTCACTGTGACAGTCAACAGACACCTCTGGATGCTTTTATTTTATTGTTTGCTTACTTAGGAGCATTATGTTGAAGTGGCTGAATGGAGTTGTCTAAAGCTGGAAATTACCAGTGCTCAAGGTTTCAGTGCTCTAACATTCCACTGCTCCATGGGGTCAGACCCAGTGGCCAGTTAGCCCAGTGCCTTGCAACCAGTTGCTTTGGGAAATGTGGAGCAGGAACATGTAGCTCCATCACAATTAACCCCTCTCCTGGATCCTGGTTATCTGTGGCCTGGGCATTTCTTGAACCAGGGGTGGTGTCTGTATTTAATGTCTCTCAGAGCTGTTCACCTTTCATGGGCCTGTCAGTAACAGGAACTGTTTAAAATTAAACGTGCACTGGCTGGATTTGGTGGGATATGGGGTGTTTGGCCTTGGAGGAAACACAAATTATTATTTCATACTAAAACAGTTAGGGCTGGGCTTGGAATGTCCTTCCTTGGATGGTGCTCACCAGTCTGAGGGGCAAGGAAAAAAATTCAGTCTCTGCCTTGCTCTGTGGGCTTTTATGAAAATCCCACTTTATGCCCTTGTGTATCTTTATGAACATAATAAGCCATAGAACTGTGTCTTTTGTGTCTACCACAAAACCCTGTGCTCTCAGTAGAGTCTTTTTGGTGGTTTCTGTAGTATCTGTAGGGTCTGGCCAAGTGCAAGGGGTCTATGTCCCCATTAATTTCAATTTGTCAGGATTTCAGTGACATTCTTCCCAGAAATGGCTGTATTTGAGTGCTGAGCTGAAGCCTCTCTCTGTAGTTTGAAAAAAATCATTGGGAGGGGTTTATTTTCTCAGGCTGGTTAGTTTTTTCCATCTGACTTTACTTTCCCCTCTCTTTTTGAGAAGATGGTGATAAAACATCTGAGCTCAGTGTTCCTGTGCATGCCTGTGGCTAAGCCTGAGGAGGAGGTGGCCTTGCCCTTGCACTATTTACACTAAAACTGAGGTTTGGGGTTATCTGTTGTTGGTGTGCAAGGCTTAAAAGCTCCTTGGCAATTTGAAAAAGAGGTTTGTTCCTTAGAAATCTCCAAAAATCCTCATGAAGGATGTGCTCTGTGTTCTCCCAGGGCTTCTTGTGGCTTCACCCCACCCCTTTGATTATCCTATGGATGTGTGCAGGGATGGGTTGGTGGAGGAAAGGGAATTGCATGTGGTGCCCTGAGAAAGGAAGTGTCTTACTGTTTCTCCCTAGATGATGAGGGGAAAGGCTAAAAGACAATAGCAATGACTACTGACATGGTCTAAATACATTGTTTTTGCATCATATAAATCTGAGAGGTTTATCTGCAATTTGCAGGCTGGGGAATACATCAGTATTCATTTTAGCCTCTGAAAACAAAATATAATATTTGGTCTCAGGGAAATGCTGGGATATATCCCCTGTGGGGTTTACTGGAATAATGCTCTTTATTCTGCAGTAGGGGAATTCTTGTCCCAGCTGCTTTGGATGTCCTATTGTGCAGTAAATTCATGAAAAAATACTTGTTTCCCTCAGTCTGTGTCCTGCTTACCAAGGTCCAGTGTATCCAGAACCTTAAAACCACCACTGCTGGCTACCAAGACTATTTCTTTCTCATGCATCAATTAATTATCAAAGACAAATTGTTATATATTGATGTAGCCTTTAAAACCCACTCTTCTGCTGTGCTTTCACCTTAAACTGTTGCTCTTTCTTCTTCTGCCTCCCACTTTCCCTGGCTAGATGGTTTTCCCCCACCTCAATCACGGATTTCTGGCTAATGATCAGCTTGTCTTTAGTCGGCGAATGCTCAAGGTAGACACCAAATCTGCTGGTTTGTTGTGATTCTTTGAGCTGCTTCTGTTTCTTCCCATTGCTATTTTAAATTGCCACTACCATGGCTGTGTTTACAGATGCTCAGTGGGGGTGTGTTTGAGTGAAACCCCATCCGAGTTTAGGGCAGGTGTTTGTCAAAGTAGAGAGACAAAAAACTAATGGGTTTTAGCATTTGCTTCTTTGTGAGATTTTGGAATCAAGCAGCAAAGTCCTATAAATGTTGATATGAACAGTGCAGGTACTGTAAAATAAAATACATTAAAACTAGAGTAAGCTAAATCCTTGATACTCTAAATGTGACATTTTAATTAGGAAAAATTCAGTGGGAGACTTGACATAATTGGTTGCAGTGTTCAGCATTTGCAATAGGGTTTTTTAAAAAACTGTGCAAGTGATTTAGGAGCCCAGATCCTGTTGAAAGGCCGTGGGATTTGTGCTGCTAAGTCACTTAAGGACTTCTGAAAAATCCCACACTTGTCCCTGATTTGAGGGTGAACCACATATTAAATACAGCCCTCTTACTGCCTCAGTGGTGACTCTTCCAGATGTTGCTAAAAGATTTATGAGGCTGCCTTTCCATGAGGCTTTCCATTGTGCAGCCACATGGATGGACCTGGCCTTGGGGCTGGGCTGGGATACTCGGTCATGGAGCCCCTCAGGATGCTCCCACCAAAGTTTCACAGCCACACAGAGATCCTGCTGCTGCTTTTCCTCTGCACCCAAGCAATGCAGGGTGTGAGTGACTCTGGATGATAATATATGGCCTTGGCTGTGTTTAAAGGATGAGACTAAGCACTGCTCCTTTTTTTGTGTGGCTTTTCTGGTGTGGTGCACTAAGCTGTGGCAGTGTGTGCATGCTCCAGGCCAGCATGTTGTGGGTCTGAGTTATTTCTGGGTGCTGTTGAATTGGTAGTTTCCATGTAGACAGTCACTTGCTAAGGGCTTAATGAGATAAAAGCTCGTTGGAAGGCTTTGAGCACGATCTAGGTTAAGGAATCAGACCCAAAGGGCATAAATTGGCCATGAGCTCACTTTCAACCTCCCCAGTTGGCAGCTGTAACTAAATTCCCCTGGGACAGCAGAGGCCAGGGTGCTGGTGGCCCAGGGATGCAGTGCATGTGTTGTGGGCACCCTGCAGCCACCGCTTGCCGACGCCGCTTCATCTCACCGTGTCTGTGTGAACTTCTTCCAGGGTGACCAAGGTCGAGATGGAGCCACGGGCCCCCCTGGTCCGCCAGGACCCCCAGGTGCCCGGGGGCCTCCTGGTGACACGGGAAAGGATGGCCCAAGAGGACCTCCAGGCTCCCCTGTAAGGACGGGAGATGCGCAGCGAGCTCACACCGGGCAGTTCCCACCCCCGAGGGAGAGGAGGGTGAAGGGTGTCCCTTCCCCAGTGCTGCCACCCCAGCCACTGCTCCCCAGCTTGAGCCACTGCTGGGCTCCCATGGCTGCCCGTGGAGCCAAGCTCTGGGGCAGGGAGTAGGAGGAGGGATCTTCTGTCTTAAGTTTTGGAGCAAAGAGCTGGACCTGGGCAGGTATTTGCAGGTGTTGTAACTGAGAGACCCCAGAGATCTCTTCCCCAATCCACAGCCTTAGGGTGACCTGCTGCAAACCTGCAGACCACTGGCAACTTATTCAATGAAAAAACAGGCTAAGGGATAATGCAGTGGAATGTTCTTAATTATTGCTGGTCATTTTGGAGGCTGTAACAGGTAATAGTTCCAACGTTTTTCTTCTCATCTTCGCAGGGTGCCAAAGGCGAGCCAGGAGAGGAAGGACTCATGGTCAGTATTGCCCAGGAGCACCTGTGTGTGTGTGTGTGTGTCCCTCACCCCTTGCTTTACATCACCCTTCACCTCACTGCAGCCAAGAGGGTTTGTTGTTGCTTATGGAGTCCAAAAGAAAGCCATGTGAAATTTAGATTACCCTAAAATGGATGTTTGTCCAAGGGTACCTGTGCCCTGGGGAGAAAAGAGGCCAGTTATTTCATCCCCTTGGCTCTTCTGGAGGGATGTGGTGCTCCTGTATCCTGGTTTCTGCCCCTCTGAAGCCACCTGACATTGTACTCCCAATTCCCTAAGGTTCAGGTTGGACAAAAAGGTGCTTATTATACATAAAATACATGAGCCATAAAAGAATATTATTTACTTGACAGCACAGAGAACTTTAACAGTGTAATTTATAAGGGAAGATGAGAAGTTGGCACTTGTGTAATTTTTTTTTCCCATGGAATTTAAGTACTCTTGGAAATGTTTTTATGCTGTTATACTCTGTTGTCAAACAAGTAAATCACTCCTGTATCCAACAGGGTGCCAGAGGACCTCCAGGACCAAAGGTGGGTGATAATCTCTCTTGTTTTACATGTGAATTCTTGAAATTATGCTGTATAAGAGGGGTGGAGATGAAAATAAGCATTTTGCACTCATCTGTATATACCAGATATAAAATTCCAAGGTATTGCATTAGCCATTGACTGGGGGTGTAAATGTCTGAATGTGTCACTTCCTCAATATCACAACCACTGCCCATGTTCAAACCTGGAAACAGGGGTGTAGGGAGCCACAGGGGGGCTGGAATCTGCTGTGCTGTGGGAATGTGCTTTTTGGAGGGGATAAAGATGATCAACACAAGCCAAGTATTTTAATTTTACAACTGATTCTGACTATCCATACAATTGATCTTATTTTCTGTTATGTCCCTTAACTTCTTTCTCTTCTGTTGACATTGCTGTTGAAGGGTGAGCCTGGAGTCCAAGGGAAAAAGGTAAAATGGTGATTTTTTTTTTTTTTTAATTATTCTATTTTTTCTTTACTTTGCTCTGTGCTTGACTAGGAAAATCATTGCCAAAGACTGATGGAGAAGCTGTGGTCGTGGATGTCCATACCAACCCTTTCCTTGTGTTCCCTGGGGTTTCTCACCCAAGTGATCCTAAATTTCAGGCACAGCCGTTCCTGCAGCCTGGCTTTCATTTCCACAGGCAAGCCAGAAGCTGCAATCACATCTGCCCACTAGACAAAGAATAAAAAAGCAAATGCCAAGCAAAGCAGTAGGTCTTGAGCCCTTTGGCTCCAATAATTCAGGCTGAACAGAGATGTGCCTGGAGCTTGAAGCTCCTGGGATGGGCATCCCTGTGCAGAACTGCAGTCCCGTGGGAAATGCCCCTCTTAGGGACAGACTGCTTGGGTCTGGCACTGAAGATTGTGAGAGATTCACATGTCCAGGCTCTCCACGTTTTCTCCTCGTGGATAAATCACTGCCTTTAACTGAAGCCAAAGCTCTGACAGGGCTCAGCCTTCCCCTCTTACTGCTCTGCACCAAAACAGAGGTGGCTGTGGGCATTTTTCAGGCCAGAATTTGGCTTAAAAAAATTTCATAACGGGCCTCTAAAATTAATCTCTCCAGCACCTATGAAGTGGTTTTGCTCCAGGAGAACAATGAAGCACGACAAGCAGAAAAAGAAAACCCCCTCCTGGCAGGTGGTGTTGGTGACTTGTGGTGAAGTCCATGAGGATGGGTGGCAGCTTACAGGGACAAAAAAATCCTTAAAGGGATTAAATATCTAGTTTCTATTGAAGGTGGGAGAGCACCTTTCCCAGGACCTGCTGTAAGCAAATTCTGAGAGATGCCCATCCACCTTCCCAGGAGCAGGGAAGGCAGAGGCAGGGATGGGTGGGAGCAGGGGACCACTCTGGAGCCTCCTGGGCTCCTTGCTGCAGCTCTCCCCTGTCCTCCTGCAAACCTGAGAGGGTTCCAGGTTCCAGGTGGGTCAAATGATGTGTTGGATCCTAATAAATGTGTACAAGGTCTGTGTATTTCACTCTTTACATTTTATTTCACCAGGGTGATGATGGGATCCCTGGGGAACCAGGACTTATGGGCCCTAAGGTATGTTCTGCTCTGTGTCCATCTGGTGCATGTGTTTGGAAGCATCTTTTGCTGTCTGGTTCCTTGGCACCACATCACAGTGGGGGCAGGTTGTGAAGCACATTTCTCCCCTGACATAGAAAAAAAGATCAGAAACTTTGAGGGTGGTGAGGCCCCAGCACAGGTTTCCCAGAGAGGTTGTGGCTGCCCCATCCCTGAAATTGTTCCAGGCCAGGTTGGACAGGGGCTCGGACACCTGATTGAGCAGAAGGTGTTCCTGCCCATGACAGGGGTTTGGAATGAGGTGATCTTCAAGATCCCTTTCCAATCCCAACCATTCTGTGATTCCATACTGCGGTTCTGGGGCCAACTTTATGGCTGAACACACCACCCACAGCCAAACTGTTAAGCTTCATTTTTATCTCTTAAAAACTGCCCATTTGCACCCAGACAACGTGATGTGTTTTATGGCCAAAAGCAGAGCTTTGCTCACTCGTGTAGTAAAATGAAGATAAAGGAAGAAAAGAGTAACCTGAAGAACTCTGTTCTCCACCCTCCCTGTGTAGCATTTGCCTAAATTGCCTTGTTTTCAGGGAGAAAAAGGAAGTGTGGGTCCCAAGGGAGAGAATGGCACCGATGGCTTCCCAGGACCCAAGGTAAATAAAACTGACACAAAACAGGGGCATGTTATGAGTATTTTACCTTTTCCTGGTGACTTCAAGCTGGGTTCAAGCAGAGATCAGTAGAAGAGTTTTTAAATTGTCTCCTGGAATGTTTTCCATTGGATGGCTTTTTTCCTCAAGAGAGGTAAAACTCTGATCACATTTTGATCTCATGTGATTGATGGCTGTGGCATGTGATGAAGAAAGTGGGCTCTGGTGATTCTTAATAATTTTTTTTTTCTAGATCCATAGTAACAGATGTTCCCCCTGGTATCTCTTGAATTTAGGGGGGTTTTCTATGCATTTTTACCATTTTTTACTTTTTGGAGGGCTTTGATTTGGTCAGCAAAGGGATTTACATGGGTATGGCAAATGGGGTGTTTTTTGAATCCTGAAGTGAATTTCAGGTCACTGCTGTGGGAGTACTATGGCTTTTTGAAACTCCCTAATTTTCAAAAAAAAATATAGAAAAAAGGAAGAAAGAAAAAGAAAAAGGGAGGGAAAGGGAAAAAAAATGAGGAGGGAAAAAAAAGAACAATTTGGCACAGCCCTTTTCCTTAAACTCGCCCTTGAAAATGGTTTAAACATCTTGGCTGAAACTTTCCACATGCAAAACTCAGCCTAAAGCAAAGACAGCCATGTGGAACCAGCACAAAGCTTGGCATGCTTGGAGCTGGAAAGTGGCACATCACCAATACTGGGGGCTCAGCCCTCAGTGGGCCACTCCACTCCCTCTGCAATGAGACCTTCTCTCACTGTCAGCCAACCCGCACCAACGTTATTTGTGGCAAAATATATTTGTTCTCAAGTGGAATCTATTTTTTGCAGGGAGAAGCACTCCCTTCTTGGTGTCACACTTAATCTAAAGCATATCCTTATGGGCGGGTACAGTATTTTCAGGATAAATATTCTCTATTTTCCTTGGTCTCTTTGAACCAAAAATGTGATTTTGATTTTCAGGGTGAATCCGGTGAGAAGGGAGGAATTGGCTCCATTGGACCCCGGGTATGGATGTTCAGGATTTCAGTTTGGAGCTGTGTATTTGCCTCAACCTGAGCTGTTCCCCACCACCTCTTTCTGCTTAGTATGTGTTTGAATTGCTTCAGGATCAGTTCAGTGCAAGAAAATAGAGATGGTGCATATTTAAACAAATGATTATGCAGGTACCAAATGCTGCCACAGGAGATAGCTCTGGGAGATCAGTCAAGTCCACCCTGTAACCTTTTTTTTTTTTTTGCAAGAGGGAAGCTGGGAAGAGGGGTGATCAAGTGAGGATTTCCATGCACTTCTCCCTTACACCAACTGATGCCCTTTTGAGGTTTGGTTGGATGGCAGTTCCAGCTGTCAGACCAGGGACTGGTTAAATCCGTGGGGTTTGTGAGGTGATAACCCCCAAACACTGCATGTCAGGTCTTTGCTTTCATCCCACCCACCTCTCAGTGCTGTCAAATTGAATAGGATTCATCCCTGGTTGCAGGGTCCCCCTGGCCTGAAAGGGGAACAGGGCGACACAGTCGTGATCGACTACGACGGCCGGATCCTGGATGCACTCAAGGTAAGCCCTGCACCAAGGCCATGCAGAGTCCTGCAGTTAATGGGAAAGGACTGAAAGCCTGCCAGGCTCTGCCCTGGTGATGTTGTGATATCTTCTTCCTGTCCTGTGTCTCCTTCCCAAGATCTCTGCCTTGGCACAGAGCTGGCTGGGAGGGAAGAGCTTATTATGCCTGGGGGCTGAGGATATTTAGGATGTACCAACAAAAACCAGTGGCAGAACTCCAGGCTGTGAGCTCAGGCTTGTGGAATCTGGCTGTGGGATGTGGGTTAATATTCTGCAGGTAGAAGCAGTGTGACACAGCCATACAAACACCTGATGCAGTGAGTGTGAGCAGCCACATCACAGCTCAGACACTGCCGGCAGCAGGGTGTGATTCCCGTGGTGTGGAGATGCTGCTGTCACTGTCACTGTACACCTTCTTCAAGCAGCACTGGGGATGCAGGAGGAAGGGGAACAGCACCCAAGCCCTGACCTGCCTGACTGAGCAGAGCCCTGCCTTTTTCCTTAGGATGGAATAAGCTGAATAGAGTAAATACTTAATTACAGACAATTGAGAACCATCCTAATTGTTTTATAACAGGCTGCAGGGATACACAAAGTGCTGGTAATTTCCATTTGCCAGATGTCTGCATGGCGTGGAGCTTTTGGGAGTGGAGTTTGTGGAGTGCAGTGGTTGGAAAGGCTCCATCAAACGTCTGGAGGCTTCATCTGCTGGGCCCAGACCCTCTCCTATGTTCTGCATGCAGAGGTTGCTGAGGGGCACAACACTGAACCTCGCTAACTTTGCTGTTTTCCTGCTTATTAGCTGCTTGCAGTGTTTGTGCACTGACCTATCTCATGGGCAAGGCTTTGGAAAGGATTCCAGTGTGACTAAATGTAACAGCATTCGAGTGTGCAGCCATGGAAAAAGGTGCTTGAGGATACGATACTGGTTTGGTTTTCATCTCAGTGAGACCACAACTTTTGCCGTTTGAAATAATTTGCTAGTTGGAAAATACATGTTCATCTCAAGGTGGTTTGTGGTCTCTGCACCCACCAGTGCCCATGAAAAACAGCTTCCTTAAGTGTGCTGTTAGTGCTCACACAAACTCCTTCGTTTCCCCTCTTTAATTGCACCTCCCTGGCTGCTGCTGTTTCCAGCAGGATGCTGCTCCCCAGGCCAGCTGGCAGGAGCACACAGAATGCAAAAAGAAACCACCAGATTTGGGGCCACACCTCTGGCTAGAGGCATTTTGCCTCTTAACCCATGTGCTGCTGCACCTGTACACCCAGCTCACTCCCACTGTGTTTTCTTCTGCATGAACAACCCCATGCCAGAGGGACCTTGGGTGTCTCTGTATCAGTGGGGCTCATCTCAGTGTTTGAGCAACCCTACTCACCTGAGAGCCTGTTGCAGGTGGTGGCTGGGAGCTGCTCCTGGCTCATCCCCCCAGCATGAGGATCATGTGCCATGTTCACGTTGGTCAGGATCAAGCCTGTTTTGTTTGCTGTGTTTCAGGGTCCACCGGGTCCCCCAGGGCCACCCGGCCCCCAAGGCACTCCAGGTCCCAAGGTGAGCTCAACCCCTGCCATGCAGTGTTCCCAAGAAACACTCCATGTGGAGTCTCCCATGGTGATGCTACCTGAGGAGGAATGTGAGGCTATGTGTGGTAAAGGAAATGCTGTGGCTGAAAGGAATTGCTCTGGCTGAAAAAAAGGAGGTTTTTACACAAAACCCAAAGTTTTGTTGATCTGTCTCTGGTCTCCAGCCTCTTCCAGAGGATGCTGTCCCAGAAAGGAATCCACTCCCAGTCCCACACTTGACAGGTGAAATCTCAGTCCCTCTGAGACCACTGTGGCAGGAAGCAGAAGCAAATGGGAGAAGCAGTTGTGAGAGGGGCTGGCAATGCCAATGGCTGTGCTGAGCCACCTCAGTCCCACCCTTCCCGTGTTCCATTTACTGCCTTCCTGCTTCACAAGCAGGAGTCTGTACCCTGCAGTCAGCTGTAGTTTCTTTAAAAGAAGAATGTAATTTGCAGAAAAGCATCTCTTGGAAGAATGAGATGGGACAGGATTTTGGTGCCCAAGGTCTCATATTTGGATGAGCCAGTAATGCTGGTGCATCACTGACACCTCCTTGGTCCTGAGCCTGGCAGTGGCAAACCCATAACCACAATGGTTGTGTGTGAATAACTCATTCCTTGCAAAATGCTTTCCTGAGATGATTTCCTGATTTAATTTACCATGTGCTCCCCTTTCCTTGTGTCCCTTCAGGGAGAGCTGGGCTTGCCGGGCCCACCTGGACTGGACGGTGAAAAGGTGAGTTGGGCTGGATCGAGTGAGGCCTTGCAGGAGCCAAATAAAAAAGACACACAAATACTGTGGGTCTGTGAAGAGCAAATCCAGTCTTCCAGGGGCAAGCTCTGCTCTGTAATGTCAGCTCTGTCTCCTTGAACTGATGCCCCCATCCCGATGCTGCTCCCGGCCGTGTCTGCTGAGCTAAAGGGGCTCCTTTCACGAGTGGTTCATCAGATGCTGTCTCCAATTTTTTCATAAAACTTCCCAGCCCTAAATGGCTGCAATCCCTACTGTGGCCCAGCCAAATTCTACTGTGCCCACAAGATTGGCCTACATGAGTTTGAAAGTTAAAACGTGTCCTCGTGAGCTCGCGCTGCGATGTGGAGGCAAATGTGGAGAGGCAGAAGGGGCTGTTGTGTTTGGGGTGGGGTTTTTTTTAACAGTTTTCTCCTAAACACGTTGTTTTCTGTCAACTTGCAGGGTCCCAAAGGAGCAAAGGGTGACCAGGGCAGCGCAGGGATCACGGGGCAGAAAGGAGAGACAGGAGAAATGGGCTTAGCGGGTCCACCGGTACGTCCCTCTCTGTCCTGTCCATCTGCTGCTTGGTTCTTTAATGTCACTTCTGCAAATGCTCAGAGTGTGGCCAGGTTGGCAGATTTAAGCAGTGACCTGTCCACACCATGTTGCCATGGAAGCCGATGAATGCAGGAGCTTTGAATTTGCATTTCTAAGGATGATGATAACAGCTCGTTCAGAAGGTACCAAGGAGGAGAAAATCTTTCTTCAAAGCCCCCCGGGGATGAACATGAGCTTTACTTGAGCCAAGGCTGGAGTTTAGAGGGGGACAAACGTATTTTTCTCTCTTGTTTTTGCTTTGCTGGAAGATGCACCACACCAACGGTACATTTTTATCTTTCAGGGAGCAGAAGGGCCAAAAGGAGACAAAGGAGAAAAAGGAGACACCGGCTCACCATGTCTGCAGAACAATCATGTAAGATCTCGGCAACATAAAGCCTCTTCCATGATGTGGGGTCAGGCAAAGTTGGGGGGTGCAGGCTGGACCTGCCAGTCCTGTATCCATCAGCAAAACCCAACTGTTGTCTACAAGAACTTTCAGGAGCATCTACATGGGGTTTATTTGTTAGGGAAGAGCAGTTTGGACACTGAGCTACGAAGTTACTTTAGATTTTGCACTGATGGTTGAGATACTGCTGTTATAATTGTTTTGTTCTCAAAACAGAGTAAGCTCCTTGCAGTTATATGGGATTTCTGCATCCTTTTTTCCTTATTCATGCTAATTGCTTAATAAAAAAAGAAGTGGTAGGTTTTGATAGTTTGGGGGTTTTTTAATAATGACAGGGAAGTTCTAATTTTGTTCAGGGTGTTGGTTTGAGGCTTTGTTTTTTTGTTGTGGGGGGGGTTTTTTTGGGGGGGAGGTTGTTTTGTTTTGTTGGCTTTTGTGGGTTCGGGGTTTTTTTTTTAATTAAAAAGTCTGGTTTTCTCCAGTCTGTGCAAAAAATGGCATCACTACATCCATTTTATGACTGGCAAATACACTGAGTGGTGTTGGTCAGGCCTCTTACTTTAGAGGCTACTTTGATTATTCGTGTGCTTATAAAGATTCTTTTATTTATAAATACTACAAGCAACTCTTTGATTAGCAGATACTTTGATTAAAGCCATTAAATCAGAGAGCTTTAAAACATGATTCTGGGTTTTGTGAGGTTTCCATTGGAGAACTGCCTTGTCTCTATGCCCAGCCTTGTTAACGTGCCATTTAATTCCCTTCCATAGATCATACCTGAGCCTGGACCCCCTGGATTACCTGGCCCTATGGTAGGACTCTGGAAAGTGATTGCTGCAGATCTGTTATTGCATGTGATTAGTCAAGGACCAGGGTGGTTTGCTCTGTTTAACCATGGTGGGCTGCTGTCAAAGGCATCTGGAAGGCCAGGATGTCTCTGCTGAATCTGAGATTCACTTTGAGAGACCATGTGTCAAAACCAGGTGGCTTTTCAGGTGGCCTTCATAACCTGTGAGGTGTCCCAGCTGTGCCCAAACTTGCTGTCATTTGCTTCAGCAAAATTTTTGGGGGGCTCTTGCTCCCCAAAACTCATGTTGCAGAGCTTTATTTGTCCCTTGATGCACTAAGTGGTCCTTTCCAGCTCCCCTTCCCCCTAATTTGATATCAGAGGACCAAATAAACTGCCACCTGTCTCAAAAAGAAATATTTGGCCAGCCATTGTCAGACCATAATTTGAGCAAGAAATGGTTTGGGAAGGAAACTTTAGGATGGGTTTATAAATTCTGGGTTTTTTTAAATGCACCATTGTCTTTCCCACAGGGCCCTCCAGGAATCCAGGGACCTAAAGTAAGTCAATAAATTAAATGTCACCCAGTTTCCCAGCTGCCAGTGCATTATTTACAGGCTCACAAAAGGCCTGTCAGCTCTGGAGACTGACTTTTTTTTTTTTTGGGTCACTGTTGTCACAACAAATCCCTTGGTTACACTGTTCAGCAGTTTGTGTTCCAGAAAACAAGCAGTTTGTCCTTCCAAACACATTTACGACCCAAAACCCTCCTCCAGCACAGAGTCCTGAGGGCTGGCAGCACATGTGAGTCAGGGTTTCCAAACCAAAAGGCTTCAACCTGCATTTTCAACTATTTTCTTATATGACTTGGCCAAGAGGAAAACATGGCCAGCAGTGTGGGTGAAAGCACCCCAGAGAAGGGGGCAGGGGAGGTGGTGGGTGTGTGGGGTGGCTGCCCTGGGCAGAGCTGCCAGCTCTCCTTGGCTGATGCCATTTCATTTATGCAGGGTTTGGACGGTGCAAAGGGAGAAAAAGGTGACACTGGTGAGAAGGGGGACCACGGTGACACTGGACCCGCTGTGAGTAGTTTTCCCAAATCTCATTTCTGGCTGTCGGCAGCAGCCTGCCTGACAGCAATGACCCTAATGCCCTGTTTCTTTGTAACTTCAGGGTCTCCCGGGCGCTCCAGGGCTCATTGGATTACCTGGTACCAAAGGAGAGAAGGTAATCCTTGGGGTGGGAGAGGAGAGGTGGCATTGGGGTGAAATCCTAAAACAGGGGCTGAGTCCAGCCGGAGCCGCAGAGCTGGACTGACCAGCACGACAAGGAGCAGCCTCCAACCCCAGGGGCTGCTGAGAGAGCCTGTGCTCTTACTACCATATTACACCAACTGGATATAAGTTTGTCTGCAGCACCAAACTCAACACAGCATGTCTTGATTTTGATTTTATGTCTTAATTTTTATTTTCACGACGGCAGGGAAAGCCGGGGGAGCCAGGATTGGATGTGAGTATGGAAACCATTAATTATTTATGTATAAACATGAATAACATGCATGTAACTTGAGACTGTTGGGAAAATATGTAGCTAAGATTGTATAGACTACTCTCCCTTAAACACAGTGCCCATGGAATGATGTCTGTAGGAAAGGGCTGAACTCAGACCAGTTGCTGGGATACTTCCCCTGCACAGTGGAACTGCTTGGCTAAAGGTGCCGTGGGGGTTTTCCTTTCCAACTGAGGATATTTGTATGGGATTCAGTCAAATGAAACTCTAATACCTGTAACATTACTGGGGTGTGGGGGAGCACTCCAGCTTTCCCAAGAAATTGCTGACACACGAAGTAAAACAGGAAGAAAATGTCATTCTTCACCACGGCAGGATGGGCTGATGAACTGAGATGCCATGATGTTCACAGACTGAACTTACAAAACCTTTTTTTTTTTCCTCTTTTTCCCTACCTAAAAATTGTTGTGATAGGGTTTCCCAGGTCTCAGAGGAGAGAAAGGAGAGAGAAGTGAAAGAGGCGAGAAGGTGAGTGCGTTATGGCTGCAGGCACATTCATGGGGCAGGACAAGCAGCTCTTTCTGCCAGGTTGCCCTGGGTGCTGGTCCTCTCTTGGCTGTTTCTTGAGTAATTCCTGAAAGGCCTTTTCCATAGCACAAGTCCTTGCCCGGTCCCAGTGTAGGGCAGGACAGGCAGTTAATTCCTACCCACTTGGAAGAGCTTTCAACCCCCACCCACAGCACAACCACTGTGGGGAAATGGAGCAGCGTGACAGCTCCAGGCTGCAAAGAATTGCTGGTCTTGGTTTCTAGACCTTGAAAATAGATCCAAGGCAAAGGTTTTGCTACAGGGATCCTTAAACAAAGGGATGCCCAGCTGCGTCCAGGGCAGTGGCTGGAAGCTGCTGCTCCCACTTGCTGTCAGATACCAACCTTTAGTCAATCAATTATCTATTACAGTATCTCCACCTAGCTTTTAACTAAAGATTTTCACAGTGATTTAATTACTCAGCTGAGGTTACACTTGTGCAACTGTCCCTACTCTGGGTGAGGAGTGGGACTCTGTAAGTGCTGTGAGACATAAAGCAAAGGTGTTCCTTCTCCTTTTTCCTGATATTTTCCTGTTGTGCTGACAGGGTGAGCGAGGAATACCAGGGAGAAAAGGAGCCAAGGGGCAGAAGGGGGAACCAGGCCCCCCTGGACTGGATCAGCCTTGTCCTGTGGTATGTCTTCCATTTCCCTCATCCTCAGCTCGGGTTGCTGGGGCTGAAAAGGAGCCACAGCTTTTCAGCCAGGGAAAAGGAGGGAGGATTTGGGAGTTCTCTGTTTTGCAGTAAATCAGAGCAGATGGTTATTGTTTTCTCACTTTTCTTACTGGTTTATCTGCACTGCTGGAAGTTCACTGCTCGTTTTAAGGGCTCCTCACTGGCCAGATGGGAGCAAGACACAGCAGTAAAAATAAAGGATCTTTGTGTAAAGACCTTCTTATTGTAGTCAGGAACAATGGACCTCAGTAGAGCTCTTCAGGAGATAGTGTGAAGCTGCAGGCCTGGCTTCTAAGCATGTCTGAAATCAGGGAGTAACTGGGTGCTGTGCATGGGAGGTGATTTGTAAACAAGGTCAGCTCTATCTGTTCATCCCAGCAAACCAAGCGAGGGATGAGCCTGGGGAAGTGTCTTAGAGTTGATGCCATCATAGTTCTGCCAAAGAGAAGTGATGGATGAGCTGGAGCTGGAGCTCCCCAGGCTGCCAAGAAGTGCCTCTGGGAGAAGAGACCTCCCTGGGTTTCTCTGCCTGTGGCTCAGATCTGTCCCTTCTCAGTCAGACACATCCTGGGCCACCACTGTGCAGTGTCTACAAAGACAGGCTTTCCAGGAAACCTCCTGGGTGTTTGAGCCAGGGGAACCTGGATCTCCCAAGTGCACTTCCAGAACCTCTCATTCACTTGACAGAGCCCAGGAAAAAAAAAATCTAGACTGATTTATAAGTTATTTGACCCGGTAAAATTTACCTCCTTTTCATTACTGTTTTTCATATATTGACTACAACCAGAGAGACAGATCCTTTCCCTAAAGTGCTTTGAAGGGTGCAGGATGAAAAGTATCAAATATTGAACTGAAACTGCTTAAATGTACCTGTTTAAGACTTTAGTTCAGAGGCACCAAATAGTGCCAGGTACTTGCTCTAACACGATCCAAAAACCCATTTCTTGTCTAAATGTGTGACTTTTCCTCAGCCTGCCAGCACAGCTATAGCAGCCAAAACTGTTGTGTAGCTCCACACCAGTAAAAAACTCCTTTAGTCAATATGCTTTATTTTGCCCAGAGATTGAATGTGAACTACCATTAATTTTTTCCTCCCTCAACATGTTGGGTGATTTACCCCTTACCTCTCTGACTGAGCTGTTACAAATGTGAATCTCTGGTTTGTGTATAGATGATCTTTCCCAGATGACAGACTCTGCGTCTGTGAATTCCCTACCATAAAACCACTCTGCTGACTTGCTGTGTCATCAGAAATGGAGCTGTGAAGCTCTAGACCCATTCTCCTCCTCTGCTGAAACGTGGGCATCTGTCTGAGTAACTTCTGGTCCTTTATCATTCTCAACAAGCAGTTGTTTTTCCAAACAGGGAGATCATAGCATTGCAGGCAGCAAAAGGGAGCCAGGTTTGCCAGGCCTGGATGGGCTGAGCGTGCCCTGCCCTTTGGTACAGTATCTGCTCTCTCTCTTTCTTGCATGGCTTGTTGTGTGTGTTCCTGCTGTGGCCAAGCCCTGTCCTGAGAAGCAAATCCCTCCAGGGAGAGGAAGGACACAAGGCAGCAGGGCTGGAACGAGATGTTTCACTTTGGTATTTGGGGAAGGATGCCAATGTCTTGTTCCTGCTTCCTCCAAGTTAAAATTACTTTAGATAAGGAGTGTAAACCATGGGAGATCACGTAGAGGATGCTGGTCCCTTCCTGGCAACAGATGCTCAAAGTTAGCTACGGTTTCTCTCAGCACCTGTGGCCCAGTTTGGTTCCCCTTGTGCTGGTGCAGCCCTGTGAGTCCCATTCCCAGCTGAGATTTGAAAAGCTTCCCTCAAATGAAGGGGCAGCCCTGCAGAGCAGGGTCACCAGCACTCTGGGCATCAGAAGGGCTTTGCTGTGTCAGCACAGAGCTCAGGTTGGGTCCAGTGGTTATGCAGGAAGGTTCATGCTCTCCTCCCCAAAAGGGCTCTGCTCAACTAGTCATTGTTTTATTTTCATTTTTTTTAACCATAGAAAATGCTGCATGTCAGATGATTTGCAGTTGTCCTCAGAGAAACAAAAGGGCAGTAAGCTGTTTCTCTTTCAAAAAGTTAAATTACTTTCAGATGTGTCAAAGAAACCAATTCCTAACAGCAGGCCCGCTCCAACTCTCCATATTTACTCCCCAGAGATGTTCTATTCACCAAGCATCTCCCATCTTAACTGTACAGAAAACACAGGACCTATGTGTATTGAAGGCATTGTAAACTGCAGTAGGTGATTTCTCCAAGATGTAACTACAACATGACCAAGTTAGTAAAGCCCTTGCACATCTCCCTGTTTGGGTATATGAAGGGCAGTTGCATGTTGGTTGGAATGGTGACTTTGTTCTCCACCCCACTGTGTGGTGGAGGCTTTCTGGGCTCTCAGTGATGGCTTTTAGTCCAGGAGCATCAGCATGAGCCTTACACAAAGGCCACAAAGCTCTTTTTAAGTTGACAAGTCATTTTGGGATCACTGGAGTGAAACGTGGTAGAAAGGCTGGAGTTTTATGATGGCCAAAGTTAAGTATTTTGAGGAAGGAGAAAAAAACAGGGCAGAAATCAGCTCTGTGACCATCCATGTTAGGGTGTGCTTTAACAGCAAGTCAGGATGTTTCTTGGTCAAATGACTGCTCTGCAACTTGTCCCCTGTACCCTTCACCCCCAGACAACTCTGGCAAATGTACCAGTTGCACTTTTCTTATGAATAGTTATGGACCAAAATATTGACCGTGTCTGCAGAAAAATGTGTGTTTTCTAACTAATGTCACAGGAAAGCATGTGAAAATAACTTGACTTCTTACACTGTGAGTAGCTGGAGAGGGTAACCTTACTTCACTGCATCTGTTTTATTGGGCATAGGCTATTTTACATATAAAATCAATACAGAATACAAAAAATGTGATGACTGACATTTACAGTAAAAAATGTAAAATTGCATTTTGACCTCTGTTTGCACTGGCAGTTCCCTCTGCTGCACACACATTCCCATGGCTTCCCACCCCCGGGGAATCTGAGGTGGCTCTGAGGGAAGGGTCAGTGCACGTGTGCTCTCTGTGGCTCTACATGCAGAAATTAATGTAATTGGAGATCCAAGAGCCTTAAAAAATTCCAGCATCACAAAAGGCAGCTGAAGTCAGCTATTTCTTCTAAAGTGTCTTGAAAGAGCTGGTCATACAAAGCCCATTCCTCTTCTAAGGGGCTCCTTCCTTTTCAGTGCTCTCCTCCTGGTCAGTGAGCTCTTCTCTGGCTTTCTGGTTTTTGTGTGCTTCTTGAATCTCCATTGGAACATGACATATTTTCACTCCCTTTGCATAGTCCACAACTCATCCCATGTCAATCAGTTCAGCAACTCAAGATTTCTTAAAGAAACTAAGTACTGCAGGATCAAATTTAACACAATCAGGACACCATCCAGGAAAAAAAAAGACCTACATCACCTCCCCCCCAGTTGAAAAGTACATTTTAACAGAAAGTACATTTCCACATCATGCTTTCCATATTTATGTCTGATTGCAAAAACCACTACCTCATAAAACAGATCATGAAGTTAATGAACTGTGGTTTCAAATCTTTATATTTGTTCACATTTTCTTTTTTGTTTAAAGGAAAACAGAAAGTGTAGATTTCTGAATTTTTTTACCCTGGGGTCTATTCAGTTTTGTGTTGTGTGTGACACATGGATTACATTGCCTGCATATTTATTGTTGTGCATATACAGTAAATGGGTTTTGCATGGTAATTAACAGTGCTGCTAAACTATTCATTGTTGTGACAACTGAGCTTCAGGTTTTTGAGTCTGACACTTAAGCCACTGTCAAGAAAACTGAATCTGTAAATTCAATTTTGCAGGGACCAGACGGACTGCCAGTAGCAGGATGTTGGCATAAGGTACAGTAACATTAATAACTGTATATCCTTGAACAGGCCCCAAGTAATTTTTCTGGCTGCATGATGACTGTTTGCCCTGCTGCATGTCCTTTATATGCCTGGCAGACATGATGTCATGCCTTGGGAGAGCAGGATTCCAGCAGCTTCATGTCTTGTTCCCCACTGCTCTAGATTGGTGCTGGGAACACCAAGAACTTGCTAAGCACAAAAAAATCATTGTTGTTAATACTGTCAGTAGAATGCCTTTTCACAGGCTTGCTCAGGCTTTTGTTCTGGCCCAGGCAGCTTAGGAACCACCTGTGGAAAGGCTGCAGCACTCTGCAAGATGTGCTCCTGCAACTTACTCAGCTCATAACCTCTAGATGAGAATTTTACAGTGGGTTATTGCTTTGTTGCAGAGTTACAAACATTTATGGCCAAACAAGGGCTCTTCTACCATTGTAATTATAACCCAGAGCCACCACACTGGCTGAGTGCTCCAATACCCTGGGTGCAGGTAATTCATTCCATCTCCTGCACCCAGAACAGCCAGGGGTGTTATGTGCTAATGCAGCCTGGGAGAATGAGGAAAGATGTGTCCACTGGGACACGAGGATTTAATTCAGACTTGCAGGAGGATGCTCATTCTCTGACAAAGGTATGACACTGAAGCTGAGAGGAATTACTAGCCCAGTTGTATGTGGATGTAGTTGGGAGTTAACAGCAAGCATGTTACTAACTGGTTGCAAACCCTCAGTTAGAATGTGAGCACACCCTTAGTACATCAAAGTTTTTAATTATGTGTAAGTCATTTGGATGTCTTGTTAATATTAAAAGAAATTTGAATGCCAATCCTTATAATAATAACAGTAAGATTAGTAAGTGTAAGGAATGGAGCATTTATCTGATTAAAATGTTTGTCTGTGTGTTCTTTTTCAGTGATCCCTAAGCATGAAGCACAATATGTAAATAATGTGATATATTTTGATCTTTTTAATTTTTGTATAAAAAAAGGAAAAAAAAAAACTTTCGACAGTAATATATTGACCTTTTTTTATACTGGATTCTGACATTTACGGACTTGGAAAATATTGTAAAGCTCCCAAACCCATAAAATACGCATGGTAACACCAGGATTTGATAAAGGTACTGCTACCAGTAGCTGGGAATGAACAGTATTTTCACTGCTCGTGCTGCTGTGTGAACTAACAGGACTGAGCCAGCTGCTCGTGTGCCTCATCGCATGGAGTAAACCCTGTCCTAGTCTGGCTCTCACCTCTGTATCTGCATTGCACATGCACATTGAAAGGGTGAAAGAACCTGGCTGAAAACAAAGAAAAAGAGGATGCAGCCCTGAAAATGGAAGAGCTACTGTAAACTGTCTGGTCAGACAGGAGAAGGACTTGCAACCTGCAGAGGAGACAAAGCCGAGCTCCATTCATCACTGCAGCTCTGGGGCTGAACAAAACAACCCTGACTGCCTGGGGTTATTCTACAACCATGAGAAGCATTTTTCCCCTCAAGGGGAAGCACCTCTGGGTCCTGTTCTGGGGTCTGTGCCTGAAGATGTGCCAGCACTTTGTTACTGTGGAAGCTGAATTCCCCAGGAAGCCTCCGCTGGAGAATTTCCAAACAAAAAAATGTGGCAATACTTTCAGTGCAGAGAGTTGCAGGACAGGGAGAGCTCTGCTGAAGTCCCTTCTTAAACAACAGAGCACATAATTTTGCTGTTGGGATTCCTAGAACTTGGGAGTTTGGAGTATTTAATTGTCTTGTTTTGTGGGTTTCATTTACTTTTTATTTTTTCTTGGTTTACATGGTTTTAACTGTAAACTAACTCTGCACACTTCTCTTGTCTTCTTCCTTCTCTCCCCCTTTTCAGTCTCTTTCTTTAAACTATCTCAGGCACATCCCATGCAGAGCAGGGCAATGAATAAGAGGATTATTATTTTGATATCTGCATATGCCACTGCAAGATCGATTAATAACTATTCCTCAGTTCCCATTTTTTAAGATGTTGAAAAAAACAGAGGCTGTGCAGTAGAGAGCCATAAACAATTATTTCAGAGAGGAAAAGGATGGCTTACAGCCGAGTCTGTTCAGCTTACAATGAAGATCAAGAGGCAACCAGATTCCTTTACAGGGAGGAGATACTTTCTATTAACAAGTTCTTAAACTGAACAGAGAAACATGTACAAATATTCATCCAATGGGCAGAAGCTGAAGCTACACAAACTCAAATAAGCAAGCTGTGGATTTTTATTGGTGAGATTGATTAATCCCAACCAGGCCAGTGATGTAATCCCCATCACCTTAATGCCTTTTTGATTTAACAGTTCATTTCTGGAGGAAATACTTTAGCCCCAGACAAGTTGCTGGGTTCTGTGCGGGCGTCTTAGGTGACATGAAGAGCCTGACCATGATATCAAACAGATGATATCAGGGTTCTCTGTGGCCTTGATCATAAAGAATACGGAAAGGAGTCATTTTTGGTGCCCTGAGTAGATTCAAAAACCTCTGTTAAATTCTTGCTTCGCTGCAACTCTTACTGCAGCTACTGCCAGAGAGGGCTTGAGAGAGGGATGTGACTGTCCAGGTGCAACTGCCCTGTACAAGCTGACCTAGTGCTACAGGAATTCTTGCTCCAGTGTTCTGAAGAACAGTGGGAATGTGCTTTGTGCTCCGTGCAGGCTGAGTGATGTCTGTGGGTTACCTGTGACTGGATCCTGGGTGTCCTTGAGCTCATCCCTTTAGCTGGGAGGGTGTGTTGTGTGCTGGTCGATGCTGCTCTGCCCATCTGCCTTGGTGGGTGTGGACACAGAAGGCTTAAGGGCTGTAGGCAGTGGACTTGTTACCTGTTGTTGTTGGCTGCTTAGGGTCTACACCTACACATCACTTGTGGCTATACTTGGCATTTTCACCAGTTACTCACCATTCTCTTGGTCACCATATAGATTAAATCCATGTAAATTCGTATCAACTAACAAATCAAGAAACAAGAATTATGTAACTCAAAACAGCAATGAAAATGCATTTTATTTACTTCCATTTCATGTTCTTAGCTATCACTTTTGGTGTAGGGGTTTTTAAAGGCATAAGGAGCAGCTAACAAGCTCCCACTGGTTTTTAGTGCTTTTGAAAAACCCCTTTATTGTCCCAAATTAAAGCTAAAAAAATCTTCTGTGAAAGGTTGAAGGCAAATCTCTCATTGATGTCTCCAGGAAGATCTGTAATTGTTCCCTTAATGTACAGTTGCTCTTCCCATCTGCCACAGTCATCTCCAAACTAAAAGCAATTCACTACTCCAAACCACACTGTGGGCTTCTACACTCAAATTCCTGCCCGTGTCCTGATCACGGAACCTCTTTCAGTATCAATGAGAGTTCAGTCCCCAGAATGACTGCAGAAAGCACAAGAATCTGGAAGTGTCCACAAACAATCTACAATGCAGATAGAAAAGTCTTGTTTTACATACGCTGGCAAAAACTAAACAGCTTTCTATCTAGCTCCTACTTGAAGAAGTTTGATATCACTGAAGCTACAAGACAAGCTAACCTCCAAAGCTTATGAAATTATATTAAAATTTATATTTTCTCTGAGGAAATACCCCGAAGTCCTATTATCTTCAGGTAAACAAGTCAGTATTCCGTCTTCAACTTGTGGAATATCCAGTGCTTGTAGGCATCAACTGTGACCACTGCCAGGCCTGCAAAACATTGATACAGAATACCAGAATAGTGCTTTACCTATTGCTCCTCACCGTCCCCCTCCCAGCACAGAGCTCTGCTGCCACAGCACCCGGGACATTGGTTGTTAGGGAGGAAGAGGGTGCTTATTCCCCATCCCTGAGGCACAGCCTGACCACTCACAGCGTTTCCACACCACTCAAGGAAGGCTGGAATTCTTTTCCTAGCACGGGACTACACCTGCTATCCAACACCCACCAGTGCCACACCTCAGCAGCCAAACGTTTTGGTGCTCACCTTTGGAAACTCCCAGGCAAATACCCTTGGGTTGGTTCATCCGTGCACCTGCAGCAGCGAGGGATGTTCAGGACATCTGACTTACTGCCCCTGTACAGATCAGCCATCTGTGCTCAGTCACTTCTCTGGACTCCTGCCACTGCCATTCCCACCAGGAATGCTGGCAGTACAGATCCTGCTGTATGCTGTTGCCACTTTGGCTATGAGGAACTAACCAGTCTCCAAGGCCTGTGGGTGGTACATCTCCTCTACCAACCCCTTCCACCACCGAAGCAGTGGAGCTCCGTGGAGAGCAGAGCAGGGAATGGATCCCCAGGCAGGGCTGAAGTTCTGATCAGCACTTGAAGTCCCTCCTGGTCCTCAGCTGAGATCATGCATTTAACCTTTATGTTCTGAACTGAGTGTAGCTGGTTCCCTGCCCATGGCAGGGGGTTGGAACTAGATGACCTTTAAAGTTCCTTCAAATCCAAACCATTCTGTGATTATCAATCATATCATTCAGAGCAACAGACTGTATTAGAGGGACTGTTGGGTTTTCTATGGATTGCAGAGAGTGTAAGAGGGAATCTGTTTAGACTTCCATGTGCCTTCCACACACACACATATCCAGAAGAGTAGGTTGTTAAATACAGAACAGTCATGATCTTATTGCAATGAGTTAAAAAAAGATGTGCTTTGCTCAGCAACTTCATGCCAGATCAGTTGATTATTTTCTCCTTCCAGATGAAAATGTTTATGTGGGTCTTTTTGAATACTTTTGAGTTTGCAAATAGCTCACAAAGACAAATTTTACTTTTAGGTATTACTGGCAGTCTTGCTCCAACTCAGTCATGCTCTCAGTCTCTCACAAAGCACAGGGCATTTTTTTCCCCAAGAAACCTCTCTTGTTTTCCCCTCTGGTTGGAAAGAATGTGAGACTGTTTTACAGCAATTCTTAAGTGCAGCAAAATGTTACCACTATATGTCAGTAGCAATAAGGATGATTGACAGGGAGGCTGCTAATGCTTATGAAATGTGGGTCAGTCTGAGACCTGAACTTGATTTTTCTTGATCACTAAAATATTTGGTATATTGACTTCATGGATTCATCAACAGACATTCTGGGTAACACACTGAAGTTACTGGTCTTGGGGGAACCTGAAACTCAGACATATTTATTTCTGTTTTCTAGTTTACAAACCAAAATTCCTTTCCCTAATTAAAATGCCTGTGAAAGCATGGTGGTTTCCATTAGGTTAAGCTAACCATGTCTGCCTGCTGCCCGGGAGCAGAGGACAAGCAGCCTTCTTTAAGGCTTGTTCTATTTAAAATTGTGGCTGACAATTATCTTTCCAGTTGCTACCAACATCCTCTCTCTAACACGCTGCAGGAAGCAAAGTTCCCAAACTGAATCCTTAGGGCACAAGAGCTCACTTGAAACCCCTGAGAAGGTTTTTCAGCCACGAAGCTCTGCAGGCAGGGCTGCCTTGCCACGAGACATGGCAGATGTGGTACGTGACTGACTCTGGCTGTGGGGGCTGTGTCAGTCCTGGTGGTGCTGCACCCAACTCTAAGAATGGGGAGCACTCCCTAAAGCTTCTGGGGAGAATGGATTTGGGGGAGAGTAACTCCAGCAGTGCTGGGAGTGTGCTGGCAGCTCAAGAGGGCCCTTGCCAGAGCATGAACCTGATGATTTGGCCTGTGCTGATGGGGACAAGCGAGATTAATTAAGAGCTGAATCGTGGCTTGGCCAGTGAGTTCAGGAATATTTCTCTGGATTATGAAACAGGTGGCAGAGAAATCCTGATCTGACTCCAAGCTGGAACTGTTTCCAAGTGTCAATGAACCAGGATTTTACTTTTAAAAAAAAAATCATCAAGATGTTGCCACGTGCTTTGTTTTATTCCCATGGAGGAGTCCTGTACTCACTGCTTTTGACACTTGCTGTATATAGAATGGTGATTTCCATAAGGATTTTTCTCCTGTGTATTTAAAAATAAGAATGTTTCTTCTATGGTAAGCAACTTTCTGATGTGTTTTCTTTTTAGGAAACCAACAGGTAAAACATTTAGATGAGCTTTTGTCTTCTGTAATTTCATAAATTCAGCATTTTAAATTCTTAAGCAAACTAGCAAAACACATGGGAGGTTTCAGCAGCTCAAGAATCCCATGCAATGATGCAAAATAATCCACAGAGAATGACACAGGTTGACCTGCGGTTTTAAGATTATTATAGTAACCCACTAACCAGGCTAAATTTTTATAGATATGGTTTTGCAGTCAGCCAAACGTAGCAGGCTCTTGGGCAAGAATGAAAGAACCCACTGTAATGCACGAATAATTAGAGTTAATAATAAAATTTATTTTTAAAAAATTTATTCAAATTATAAGAGGGCAGAAATTTCCAGCTCTATACTGATAAATAACTCCCCTTGTGCCTCCTTAGCCTGTCAATATAATGTGTATTATAAAGGTGTATCAGAGCACAGATTTCCTGCTCAATGAATGGTGATTCAATGCTGCCCTCTAGAGGAGATATTTTTAAATATTTTAATACAAATTTATGCAAATTTTATGCTGTGAAACTGTCCCTTAATTGGCAGTACAGAGAGAGATGGGCACGACTTTTGCATAACTCTGTGGTTTGAATTGATATTTGTAAAACAGCAGTACACAGATAGAAACTTTGTTTTTTTCCAAAGCTGGTATTTCTTTCTTGGGAAATACCATCATATTCTCACGCTTGTTTTTTCAGTCCCACTGCTGCCTAGATAATTTAAAGAATTAAACAAATTAAATCTACCTGTAGTAGGTTACATGTCATGTTTCCATTTTTAAAATTTTGAGCATGAGAGCTTGGAATTATTTTCTTTAGAGAAAACAGATTTTTAGTTAAGATATGCAAAAATACTAAGAAAAAATGTAAAAATTGAAACATCCCCAAACTACTTATCCTGGACAAATACTGCAGGTATGTGGGGTGAGTTTGGTTTCAATGTGCTCTAGCAGAGCTCAGTGTGTCCTCAGCAGGTGTCCAGGGCTGGAGTAGAACCTCAAGTTAATTTGGAACTCCTGAGTTTTACCTTTCATTACCTGCTGACATGCTGAGCAGCCCAGCCAGCCTTCCTGGTGTTTATAACCAGGGAGATTTTTAAGTGAGAGATATGAAATACCTGCATAATTTCAAGAGGCCTAAAGACACTTTTGCTCAACTCAGGCAATGACTGTGGCACAAACTGACCTTGGCAACCTTACAGGACAGTGTTTATGTAAGAATATTTCTTGGACTCTTTTGCAATAGGTTTTTTTTTTAATTTATGGGGTTTTGTTTTGGGTTTTTTCTGTTCAGTTTTTTTTTCCACGAAGAGGGGGCAGAGGGAAACACCTGGTCACTCTAGTTAGTCCAGTCTCAGTGTCATTTGCTGGAGGAGTCACCTGCCTTCTAATTGTGTCCCTGGCACTGCACTGAACCTGGCCATAATTTGTTTGAACTACGTGAATTTGTTTGAAATACTTCACAGCTCTGCTTCAGGGAATCTACTGCAGACTGAAGCAAACCAGTGAGTAAAAAATTCCATTTCCTAAGCTTTATTTTCCCTGATGATCGTTTATATCTGTAAGCTAAAAATTACAATATTTTCACGTGCCCAGGTGAGCTACTGCAACTTTTCCATGTGCTTTTAAGGGGTGTGTAACTGTTGTGTAACCTGCAGCTAAAGCAAGTGCTGAAAACCTGACACTTAGAAATGAATGGAGGAAGGACTTTAATAGATTATTTTATTGTATACTACTGGAGAGAGCTTGGGGGAAACCACAGGAAAGCTGGGAAACTTGAGTTTTCCATGCATAAGAAGTTGAATTATTGACAAGAGAGCGGAATAAGAATTAGATTAGTAACATTTTGTGGTTTTCCTATGTCTTAGGACAACAATTAATTCCTGTTTGTTAAGTTGCCTCATAGTTGCATAGTTTCATGGAACAGTCACTCACATGTGTGTCAGTGTGTGGTTTCTTATATAACATAGATAATTAACAGAAACTTAAAATGGAGATGGCCCAAGTATCCATAAAGGACACTAACACCCCTTGCTGCTTTTTTATATACTGTTAAATACTGCATTTGGAAAGTGTATTTTACACAAATTTATGAAGTGCAGGTAAGTCTGTATCAAACTCGCATTTCTGCAATTACATTAAAAAATTAGGACCTGGTTTTGCAAAGCAAAAGCACCCACGTTACCCACTGAATTTGTGAATTTAGTACAAGAGGTAGTAAACTGCCATCACGTAGAATGGGAGTTGGAGTCCTGTTGTGTTTGCTGGTTTGTTTCATAGAGTGCAGTTTTACAGACAATTTCATAACATAGCTATTTTTTGTGTTACTATTTGGAGTTCTTTTTCTGCTATCCAAAAAACCAATCAAAAAAATTCAGTATGAGGAAAGTTCAGCACAAAATACCACAGTCAAAACCTGCTCTATGTTCATTCTATATCCCTTACTTTGGACATAGAAATATTACAAAACTTGCACGTACACTAACATTTGAGAAACTGTACCTGCTGCTACTTAAAATCTGACTGAAAATGTTACTTATTTGTAGAAAAATACATGCAATGTGTGCCTTCTCTGCCCATATTTGTTTTGAAATTATGCTGATAGAGTTTAATCCTCTACCACGTTATGCAAGTGTCCCTCATTTATGGGAGTGGTTGCATCACTCCAGGGAGGCTGTTCAGAGGAGAAAGGGCTGATTGTGTGTGTGTGCAGTTTGGACACCTTGCCAAAATTAGTTTTGTTTTGAATGTATTTACATGGTATTCTATACAAAGCTGACTAAATCTATATATAGATATTAAAAATACAGAAAATGTACTTAACACCTCTACTTGCAAACTTTTTGTGATTTTTTTTTTTAATCATGTATGTGCCATGAAAAGTATTCTATTTACTCATTTCTTTGGGGAACAACTACTTTAAAAATGAAGGCATTAATAACAGTATTTCTTATCCATTGTTTTAACATGTTAAAATGGTATTAATTAGTACTGCATCATGTATTTCTAGTTTAAAGCTGTAATGGACAATACATTACCTTGAGACCTCAAAAAATAATTTTTCTTGTGCTTTTTTTTTTAATAAAAGCAAAGACTAGATTTTTAAAAATGGTCTCTCTGTACAGATTACTTTTGCAGTTGTGTGAATATGTATAATGAACTCTGCATTTGTAACCAAGAGTAAACTTTCCAAATTGTAAATGTTCAGGTTGTTATTATAAATAGCCAGTAAATATCTTAACCAGACAAGAGTTCAAATAAAGATTAACAGTCATTATTATATTTTTCTCCACTGTCTTTTGTTACTTAAACCTGACTTCTATGAAACAACTGGGTCTGACTTCCTAAATTCAATCTAACTTTTAAGTGCATAGCAATTTGGTTTAGCATTCTCCATATTACACAAAGTTTAAATTGCTCCTGTGCTTATCAAGTAGTTGTGACTAGAGATAATTTTGGTGGCTATAGCTAGTCAGCAAAGTCTGCCAAGTGTCGTTTTAAAAGTCTGCTCTGTTTAGAAAAACATCATAACAGATGTTGTCAGCAAAAAAATGTGAACAGGTACTTGGAAGGGAAAAAAAGGTGGCATTTTTTAGAATGAATCTGGCTAAGTTCATGAATTTGTATCATGGAATACAACACCTACACAGCAGCAGAAAACCCATCCCAGAACCTCCCTTCTGGTTATCTCCCTGTTTTTCTTTAGGTAATTCCAGTCAAACAGGAACAGAGGAATAACCATTCTAATCTGACGACAGCATTTCCTCTTTTAATCCCAACTACTGCCTGTCCTAGGATTGGCTTTTAAGGAGTCATCTGTCAGGTCTGCTTTTATCTGCCACCGACCAAACACGGAGGTACAACATATAAATGGTTGGTTTTACTTTTGCTTAAATAGTTCAAGCACGTGTTGAACAATTACTTCACTTCTAACACCCAGGCTAACCCCTCAAATTATTCTCAACCGTAAAAGACACTTCCTCGGCGTGTATTTCAAAAGAAGAGTGCTACAGCTGCACTAATGGTCCTGGAGAGGCTGTAACCCAGAGGGACCTGGGGCTGGATGCGGCTCCGAACCCAGCGGTGTGTGAGGTGAGTGGTTTGAGGGGACCCCGCCGGGCGCTGCTGCCCGTGAGGGGAGCGCCATCCCCGCGGCCA